TGATCGAAATGACTTCCGAGGCTCCTGAGTCCACCTCACCAATCAGTGGCACCGAGACCGAACACGCGGGCAGAACCTCGACTAGCCGTCTGAGCCCGGCCGAGTCCATGGGAGAGCAAGCCGTCGTTGAAGATCTGATGGCGAAGCAGGCCTACAGGATCGAAACATCCTTCATGGCCGCAATGGATAGATTCTCCTCGGAGCTACGGACGCTTTTTCAGGAGAGGATGCAGGTGACATCGTCCGCAACGCCTCCCAGAGCCGGACAGAGAGGCCAAGAGTGCGAGAGGTTCGAGCTCTACGACGAGAGCAGCAGACTCGGCGTCTCTGGCCGCACCCAAGCGTCAAGTTACGGCCAGCATTCACAGTTGCCGACAAACAGCTGGGCAGTCCCAGTCAACATGGGTAAATCCTGGACCGACCTATCCGGCAGAGACGACGTACGGCCCACTCCATGCTTTGGCCGTGTCACTAGGGCAAAGCAGCCCCGCACAATCCGCGGTCCAACAACTCGGCCCAGTCTACACCGTGGCCGTCCAGACTCATCTCGGCCCAAGCAACTCAACCGCTACTTCGTCACAGCAATATGGTCAGAACAATCCGGCCGTTTCACCATTACATATGTCGTTATTGCCGTCAAGCTCCCATCTTCAATACGGTTCGGCCATTCCAACTACGAGCCATACAAACCTCAGTCAAACCTACGGCGCATATCTGGTACCACCCAGCTCGGTCGCAACGGCCGAACCCCCCATTCAAGTGGCCCAGCAGGTAAGGCCGCAGAACGAGGGGCAACAAGTCCCACGGCTAGTCGCGGCCCAGCAAGAGGCACCTTCTCAGGGGCTTCGATTCGAAGACGTCCGGCAAATGATCGAGGACGGCTTGGCTCAGAGACGCCCGGAAGCGCCAAGGTATACCAAACCATACCCGCCAGAAATTGACCGAACCCCTCTTTCCCGGAACTACCGGTTGCCAGAATTCATTCTATTCTCTGGAGATAGGCAGACCTCCTCCATCGAACACATAGGCCGCTTCACGGCCTAGTGCGGGGAGGCTGATTCAGACGCCCAAAAGCTCTGTTTATTCATTCACTCTCTGACCGGCGCGGCCTTCTCGTGGTTCATAAACCTTCCACCGAATTCGGTGAGGGATTGGTCTGACATGGAAAGGATATTCCATGAACATTTCTACCAGACCAATCGGGAAATAACGGTCGCCGAGCTGGCAAGGATGAGCTAGGCGTCGGACGAATCACCTCGCGACTACCTGTAGCGGTTCAAAACGTGTAGGAATTGGTGCCGCACAAACCTACCGGAGAGGGAATTTGTCAAGATGGCCGAAGAAGGGTTGGAATTCGAATACATGAAGAAATTCCAGGGGATTGAATTCCGGGACATGCACGACTTGATCAACAAAGTGGACCGATACGCATCCTTGCTGAGAGAAGAGGTGCAGAAGAAGACGGCTTCAAAAGGGACTTGCTATCTGAATCCCGTTGTCAGCTATGCCGAAGCAGACAATCCCGCAGAGGCCGAGGGTGATGAAATTGAGATGAGCTCAGCCGACGTCAGCATAGACAAGCCATTTGTCTGTAAAGGCTTGTCAAGACCGATAATAGTCGCACCAAGATTCCCAACGCCAAATTCACGACTCAGGAAACGAAGGCCTACACTTTTGATCTGACCAGGGCCAAGGCAATCTTTGACCTGCTATTGTCTGAGAAAAAGGTCAAGTTGTCCTTCGGCCATAAAATCCCGAAACCTGAGGAGCTTAAAGGAAAGACGTTCTGCAAATACCACAGTTCTTGGTCTCACAACACCAATAACTGCGTTGTTCTGCGAGATGTCATCCAAAAATTGATAGACGAGAAGAAGCTCCAGTTCCTGGAAAAGACGGCCATGCAGGTCGACTCCAAGCCCTTCCCTTCACCTGTCATCAACATGGTGAACGCCCAGCTCTGGGCTGAATATAGGGAGGAACACCGACCGGCCAAAAGAAAGGAGCCGTTGGCCGAACCGGGACCAGTGCTGTGCAGTCGGTGCAAGTACGAGATCGGTCGCCCCAGGCCGCTAGAGAACAAGAAGAAGGCCGCCGAGCCATCCCAGCCAATTGTAAAGAAATTCAGCGGCCAGTACGACCGACAGCTAGCACGGGGCCGTGTTTTAGACCGATTAGGGGCACAAAACACCAGTACCTCGGTGGGCCACAAAAACGGAGCCACCTCTAGGCCGCTGAAGACATTCAAACCACCAGTCGTACCGGACGACCGTTGGTATCACACATAACTTGGGGGCAGCGTCCAGCCGCTCACACGAACCCAGCTGTGGAGAATGCAAAGACAGGCTCAGCACGCCAGAGCACAGACACCCCAGGCCGAGGGATCCAAAAGCCAGAAGAAGATGGCAACCGAAGATGAGCCATCATCCGCGCCAATAGTCCACACGGCAAAAGTTGCCAGCATCAGGCCTCCAAGGACATGGCGCCTTCGGAGGGACGGGGATCTTCACGGAAAGGGGGCCGTTTCGGCCGAGTCAAAGG